AAAGAAGAAGAGAGAGAAGATGCAAATAACGTAGTAAGAAATGTAATGGGTGGCATTTTAATAACTGAAATGAAAATTGAAACATATTTGAAAACCCCAAGTTGCAACTGACTTTTTTTTAGACACACAATCAACCTAAACAAAGACTGAAGCGGAAAACTTGACCAGATACATAACAAAGGAAATGATGAGGTCCTAAAAACTGCCAGCAACCAACAAATGTTGGCCCAGGAGTCACTAAAGAATTTTACCAAACATTCAATTGACATCTGTTCTACTCCAACTATCTCAGAACATAAAAAAAGGATGAAATTCTCCTGAATTCATTTCATGAAGAAAGAAAAACCTTGGTACCCAAATCAGGCAAAGACACCAAAGAAAAATATATACATCAATATCCCCCATGAATACTGACATAAACATTCTTAATAAAATCCAACATCATATCAAGAAAATAATACACCATGACCAGGCTGGATTCAGGCTAGGCATGCACAAATGGTTCAACATTAGAAAAAGAAGCAATGTAATCTACCACATATATAAAACAAAGGGTAAGACTACATGATCCTATTAACCAATGTAGAAAAGGCATTTGCTAAAATTCAATACTCTTTCTCATAAGAACTCTTAAGCAAAATACGTAGAAGGGAAATTTCTCAGTATAATTAAAGGCATATCTACTCAAAATCAGTGGCCAACATGATTCTCAACACAGAAAATGACATCATTCCCCTTGTACCAGATAAGGATGCTGTTTATCACCACTCATACTCAATATTTGAACAGACATCTTAACTGGAGCAGTAAGACAAAAGGAAATGAAAGGTTTTCAAACTAGCAAAGAAATATAACTCTACAGGTGTCAAGATCCTATTCAAAGAAAATCCTAGAGATTCAACAAGAAAACTACTAGATGATAGATAACGTATTAACCACCCTTCTAGGGGGAAGAACAACTGAAACTTGGTGAAGGGAGACAGGGGACAGTGTAAGATATGAAAATACTAATAATTTATAATTTATCAAGGGGTCACCAGGGAGGAAAAAAGAGGAGCTGATACCAAGGGCTCAACAGAAAGTAAATGTTTAGAAAATAATGATGGCAACATTTGTACAAATATACTTGATATAACTGATGTCTGGATTGTTATAAAAGCTGTAAGAGCCCCCAATAAAATGATCTGATAACATTTTTGTTCAAAGCTAGAAATGGAGATATCATATAATCTAGCAATGCAAATACAAATACATCTGTGTACTAGGTTGGCTTATTGTGCCATTCTGGCCTATAGGAACATGTGGTATTAATCAGGTTACAGTTTGACTGGAGGGCAGAGATAAATGGCTCGGCAAGGCCTGCCCCACCCTTCTCTTGCTCTTTGGTGATAGGACCAGTGTGCTGCTGCTTTAGCTAGTTCTCTACCTTAACTTGTGAGCTACACTACCTGTGGGGCAAGCCAACCTGTGGATCGTATGCTGGAGCTTGAGGTTTCTTCAAGACCTACTTATCCACTTTGCTGGTGTGCACATTGCTTGAGCTTGAGGCTGGTGGATCCTGTTCTCTTGCATTGCTTGAGTTCAATATCCTATGGGGCCTTCCTTCTCTAAGCTCCTGAGCTGCTGACTGTTGGTGACCAACCCTTCTGTTTGCTCCCTCAGGGCAGACTCTGCCTGCATTGCCTGAGGGAAGACTCAGCTGCCTGCTTCCTTGACCTTGAACCTGCAGCCCTTTTGAGTTGAAGGACTTCTAGTATATTAACTATTCCACGGAAGTCAGTTGAACTGAGCCCTCTGTATGGCTGTGTGGACTAATTATCTGCTATTATTACGTCGTGCTGTATAGACACACACACCCATAAAAATATAAATAAAATCATAAGTGTCCTGTTTTTTTTCCTCTAGAGAACCCTGCTTAACACAATCTGAGAAATAAGAGTTGTGAAATGATTATATACACACCTATGTTCCACACAGCATTATTTACAACAAATAACATCAAAATGCAAATAACCTAAGTGCTTATCAGTAGATTAATGTATAAACAAACCATGGTACAGGCACACACTGGAATACTATGTAACACTAAATAACAATGACTCTGCAAAACACCTTACAATATGAATGAAGCTGGAAGACATGGTGCTGAATGAAAGTCAATCTCAAAAAAAAAAGTCAATCCCAAAATGTCATATATTGTATGAAACCACTATTATAAAAAGTTAAGAAGAGACACTCTCTGATGGTTACCAGGGATAAGAGGGAGAGGCAGAGACACATACACACAAAGCACACCATGTCAAGCTAATAATCTCAAGGACCTTATAGGCAGTGCAGAATTGTTCCATAGAATTTCCAAGGTTGCAAATCGTTATAGAAGCTGACTGCCTCATCTTCTCCCAGAGTGGCTGGAGAATCGGAATTGCTGACCTTCTGGTCAACAGGCCAATACTTAGCCCATTGTGCCACCAGGGCTCGTTATTAACCAAACAGTCGACATATATTGAGTTGGGTGATGGGCAAGGCAATACAGCCAGACCTCAAAGATATTACAGGGTTTGGTTCCAGGTCACCACAACAAAGTAAATATTCCAATAAAACAGGTTTCACAAATTTTTCCTTTTAGTTTCCCAGTGCATAAAAATTATGTTTGTATACATTGTAGTCTAGTAAGTATGCAACAGCATTATGAAAAGTTTGACAACATTTTTTTGAAATACTGTGAAAATTGGCAAAATGTGACAGGGACATGAAGAGAGTATATATACTGTTGGAAAATGGTGCCGAGATATTTGCTCAACATAAGGATGTCCAAAAGGCCTCCAATGTGTAAAAAGCGCAGTTATCTGTAATGCTCAATTAA